AAAGAGGGATAGAGGAAGACAACGAGAGAAGATTTTTGACAGTCTTGTTGCATGGCATGGAGGTGTGTCGGCACACGAACTTATACATGCCTGCAGGAGATCGCAGATTGTGAAGAGGCGTGATCGCCCAGGCCAGTCGGCAAGGAACCTTATGATGATGATGATGATGAATATATTTGGAATACGATGTACATGACGGCATTTAAAATGCGCTCCACGAGCATTCGCAAAACAATATATAGTGAAAGGCTGTCGTCTACTCGGGTAATTCTTTGCTCCCAAAAGAGAATGTTGTCGGACAAGTGTTTGGAATTGGCGTTGGATACATGCGGATAATATTTGACATTATTAGGAGTTGTGTACAGACACATCTTGGGGTGAACATTTCCAACACCTATTTGAATGAATTCTTAATTGGCAGTTGATTTATGTAGGGTTCTTATCACTTTGGGACGTGAGTGCAGAGATTGACCAGCTAGTGCTGTAGAATCAGAAATTCAACAAATTATTCATGACAAATCCCGCCCGTGATGTGACTGTAGATGCAGATGGGTCTGTGGTGCGGGCAGACTAAGTGCATGGGGGTTCATAGCGAAGGCGAATGCGTCTTTAGAATGATAATTCACTCAACAACAGATGTTGCAATTTAATTAAACTCCAGTTCAGTATGTGTAAAAAAAACTACTGGATAACAATATTTACCAGCCTCATAAAAACGGGAATTCCCAAAAACCAGGTCCTTCTGTATATAGGTCTTTCTGACTAAATCACGTGACATTTTGGCAAAGTTCCCTTGAAAATTGGTTACTGCAAACCGTTTTCACGTGTTGCATTGTGTGACGTTTTAATTTGCTTACAAAGTTCTGTGTTCTGAAGGTATTCGTATTACAAATCGACAAGCGGATATTGTGAAGTGGATATACAAGATTTACCCGCTTTGCAGTTAGATTACAGAAATTTGAATTTAAATTCAATGGAGACAGTCGTGTTGTGATGTGTGTGTCACTGTGTCTAGTCAGTAGTTTGGATTTTTGGAACTGGCTGTTTATTCTCTTTTTACTTTGAATGTGGAAATCTTACTTTTGGGTTAATACAGACAGGTAATTTGGAAGCCAGATCTGGAGAATATCGTCAGTTGTCAGGTGCAAACTATCTTGTGTTGGAAGAAAACTATTGCTTTCATATTGACTGTGCATAAATGGTGTAAATGGTGCAACTACACTGTGATAAATTGTGTCAAGATATTTCAGAGCTCTGGGTAAGTGGAATAAAAACAATATTCAATTTACTAACTAACCTCTCACAGCAAGTCACTCTTTGCCTCTTTACTAATTATTGACTAACAGTATAATTTTATGTTGTAGAAGTACACTAATAATATTATTCGTCAATCATGTGTGTTCATTTGTGTGAGTTATTTTATGCTTCGGGATCACTGGTTGTAAACTCTGGCAAAAACTTCCGGTTGTTCATCTACTTCGTATGCATATTTGCAGTTGTACGGTCCGTGTTTATTTTTGTGAATCATCTTCTTCTTCGCAATCACTGGCTGTAAACTCTGGCAGAAACCTCTGGTTGTTCATCTACTTCGGGGCACTGTTTTGAGCAACGAGACCCAGTATCTGTTGGTCAATATTTGTGTTTGATATGTGTGTGCTGAACAGACTTTGTTGTTATTGTCTTTTTTAATGTACTTTAATTACCTTTAAAATAATATACCATTCTTAATACTTATATGCGTTGTTGCATGCAGTATTTAAAAAATGTGTATATTTTTTAAGTTACCAAAAAATTCACAATGATAAGAAACTGATTTCATCCAAAAAGATTAATTTGAACAAATTTGTTTATGCTGTTTCTACCTTGAGGATTAATATTTAGTAGTGCTATAAGTACTGTTAAGAAAACTGCTCTGGGTAAAAATTATTGCACAAGTCAATTCCATATTGACTGTGCTTGTTTACTAATTATTAAATAACAGTATAATTACGTGTTGTAATAGTCTACTAATAGTAATAATAACAATCAAGCATTTAAATTTATGATATGTTTGGTATGTGTATGTTTCACAGCAGTATTTTCATGTTAATCTTGATAAAGTACAAATGGCATCTCCCGGTCCTCTAATTCAATACCCTCTCAGAATCAAATAGTTTGCATTAATATTTCTTTACTTTTGCTGGAATAACTTCTAGTTTATATCTATACGTTATCGATGTTTACGTTCATGTTGCGCAAAAACATTTTTGTTTGTCTGTAAGAGCCTTTATTGTTATATTTTAATAGCACACTTATTTACCTTCAAATGACATCTAGCTCTATGAAATATGCCGCAAATAATGAAATTGTAGTTTAATTTGTATATACATCTCCTCGATAAAAACTGTGGACACAGAGAGGGACTCCATACTTGCGCAAGAAGGGGAATCCCCGTTGACCCAGTTGGCCTATAAATAGAGAAGGCCTTGTGAAAAACTGACAAGGACTGCGGCTGTAGCAAAGTCAGCTGCATAGACACGCAGTAAATTTGTAAAGTAGCTCTCGAAAGTGTAAACAGAGAGTGCGTGTTGATATATGCAAACGATCGCTTCATATGTGAGTGAGAGAGAGAAAAAAAAAAAAGGGGGGGGGTGGTGATGAGCTTAAGCTTTGACCAATTGCAGATACAAATTAAGTGACAAATTAATTTAATACTATTTTTTTGAAGAAGACTAGATTTAAACACGACTTCGCCCAAGATAACGAAAGAAAGATTTATTTTTCAGTATAATTTTACGTTGTAGAAGTACACTAATAATATTATTCCCCAACCATGTGTGTTCATTTTTGTGAATCATCTTCTGTTTCGTGATCACTGGTTGTAAGCTCTGGCAGAAACTTCTGGTTGTTCATCTACTTTTTATGCATATTTGCAATTGTACGGTCTGTGTTCATTTTTGTAAATCTTCTTCTTCTTCTTCTTCTTCTTCTTCTTCTTCTTCTTCTTCTTCTTCTTCTTCTTCTTCTTCTTCTTCTTCTTCTTCTTCTTCTTCTTCTTCTTCTTCACGAAACATCTAAAAAAATGCTGTATTTTGGTTCTGTCACAGATATGCAACTAACTAGCTAAATATATGTTTCTTCTTCTTCTTCTTCTTCTTCTTCTTCTTCTTCTTCTTCTTCTTCTTCTTCTTCTTCTTCTTCTTCTTCTTCTTCATCTTCTTCTTCTTCTTCTTCTTCTTCTTCTTCTTCTTCTTCTTCTTCTTCTTCTTCTTCTTCTTCTTCTTCTTCTTCTTCTTCTTCTTCTTCTTCTTCTTCTTCTTCTTCTTCTTCTTCTTCTTCTTCTTCTTCTTCTTCTTTTTTTTTCTTCTTCTTCTCATCTTCTTCTTCTTCTTCTTCTTCTTCTTCTTCTTCTTCTTCTTCTTCTTCTTCTTCTTCTTCTTCTTCTTCTTCTTCTTCTTCTTTTTTGAGGTTCATTGCTGCAGATATCATCCGCCTCCACTTATCTCTCTGGCTGGCCTTCTCTTTTCACTTGGTGATACCAGGTGTTTGAAGGTCTGTCTAGATATTATCTCTCTATCGTCTTCTTGGTCTGCTTCGTGACCTAACACATTCAACTCCTTTGTGTATACAGTTTTTCCCTTTCTGTCATATTACATTCTCCCAACCAGCTAAATATAAAAACAAAACTAACTGGCTGTATGTTGATAATTTTATTTAATATATTCGCATTTCTGAATTAGCATGGATTTGGAGGTTTACATTGTGTAAATTATTTCACAGTGGATTCCAGGTAAAAGTTGAGCAAAATATCACAGACTGAAGGCAGGCAAATGTCCGGACAGACTAAAAACAAACAAATGCCCGGACAGGTTGAAGGCAGAAAAATGTCTGGACAAAAATATGTTAATGGCACATCAGCCATGTGATGTCAGACTCGTGTTTTGATAGACCAATAGTCACTTGCTGGATGATGTGGTCAACGTCCTTGAGGCCGCCTTTATTTCCAGGACGATACTTAGTGCATATTTTAGGCTGGGTCGACTTAAAAGTCGAGCTTTGATCCATCCCCCCCCCCCCCAAATGTGACTCAGTGTGGATTTGAACCTAGGCCTATCAGGCAGGTGAGCGCGTAGTAGGAAACTGTCCTTAGACAATGACCCAAGGAAAATCTAAACCCACAAACTCCGTAGTGTACGGGAAGATCCTACTGTGAGTGCATGAAATCGACACATATGGTATGACTATGGTTCTCTAATAACACTACACCCCTAAATCAATGAGCCCCTAAGTATCAGCGCCTGCTGTGACATATATACATAGATACTCACCTGTGATGTCACAAGACAAATCCTAACTTATGTTGTCAGAAACAAATCCTAACTTATGATGTCAAAGACAAATCCGATCCTATGATTTCAGAGACAAATCCTAAGCTATGTTTTCATAGAAAAATAATCTATGCTGTCACAGACAAAACCTAACTTATGCTGTCACAGGCAAAACTTAACCTGTGATGTTAGAGACAAATCCCAACCTATGATGTCAGCGACAAAACTTAACCTATGATATCAGAGACAAATCCTAACCTATGATGTCAGCGACAAAACTTAACCTATGATATCAGAGACAAATCCTAACCTATGATGTCAGCGACAAAACCTATGATGTCAGCGACAAAACTTAACCTATGATATCAGAGACAAATCCTAACCTATGATGTCAGCGACAAAACTTAACCTATGATATCAGAGACAAATCCTAACCTATGATGTCAGCGACAAATCCTAATCTATGATGTCAGCGACAAAACTTAACCTATGATATCAGAGACAAATCCTAACCTATGATGTCAGCGACAAAACTTAACCTATGATATCAGAGACAAATCCTAACCTATGATGTCACAGACAAAGCTTAACCTATGATGTTAGAGACAAATCCCAACCTATGATGTCACCGACAAATCCTAACCTGTCCTGTTGCAGACAGCATAGGATCATAATCTATGCCATCAGCTGGCATCAAACATTCTTGCTTTTTTCTACTTCCGACTGCAGCATGTTTGGCAGAACCTTCAGCAGATGGACAACCCCATCATCAACTGATACGGTTGATCGAAAACCCAGCTTGCGGATCTTGTCATAGCTGACTTCATAATCTCGCTTATCTTTATCCGTGCCTTCTGTCGATGGAACGATTTTGCAGGATGGGACTAAATTCTGAATCACGTGAGCAACCTCGTTCTTGGTCAGATTCATACGCTCGTCCCCGACATTGTAGGCGTGGCCAGACATCACTTTCGTGTTCTCGATGGCGAATATAAAGGCGCGAGCTGCATCACGGACATGGAGGAATGTCCTGCGGAAGTGACCTTCATAAAGGTCGAAATGTCTGATGGTCAGAGCTTTGTAGGCAAGGTCATTAACTAGCAGATCTAATCTCATCCGGGGAGAAATGCCAAAGACCGTGGCCAGTCTCAGAGCGGTGCCGCTGACATCCAGGACTAGACTTTCCCCGCCAGCTTTGCTGGATCCATAGAGTGACAGCGGACTAATCGGAGTCTCCTCTGTGCAGATGCCTTCTACAGCACCATAGCAGGAGCCTGTGCTGGCGTAGACTAATGCCTGGTCGGGTTTCTTCAGCTGTGTGACATTTCTGGTGCCTTCAACGTTCACCTGTTGGGCGTGGTTCTCATCCTTGTCACAGGCTGGGTATCCCACGATAGCTGCGAGGTGAATGATCCCTGTCTTGCCCTCGACTGCCTGTGCCAGTTTGTTTTTGTCCAGGATGTCCCCGTTAATGATGTGAAGACGGGGGTGTTCTGCTACGGGCAGTAGGGGACTGATGCCCCAAAGGAAGATATCGTACACTGTTACCTGGAAAATATGATAAATAAAACTATTAAAGTCAGCTTAATATTATATTTCCTGTTCTTCTTTTGCTTCTTCTTCTTGTTCTTCATGTTCTCCTTCTTCTTGTTTTTCTTCTGCTTCTTCTTCTTGATCTTCTTGTTCTTCTTGTTCTTGTTCTTGTTCTTCTTCTTTTTCTTCTTCTTCTTCTTTTTCTTCTTTTTCTTCTTCTTCTTCTTTTTCTTCTTTTCTACTTCTTCTTCTTCTTCTTCTTCTTCTTCTTCTTCTTCTTTTTTTTCTTCTTTCTTCACCTGTTGTAAGCTCCAGCAGAAAGTCCTGGTTGATCGTCCATCTGGACTTTGGCTTTGTGCCAGGGCCTGAGTTTTGCGTGTACATCCGTTTTACTGGTTTATTTGTGTGCAGCTGGTTGTTCTTTGCCGCAACGGGCAGATGTACTCGGCATTTCAGGAGTAGAGAAAAGAAGGGCGTGTTCCAGAGATCTCTTCCTGCCTCTTCCACATTACAAGAGTATAGACGAGAAGAAGAGGACGACGAAACCTACGATGATGATTGTTATAATGCAGGTTATTACATAGAAGATGCCCACTAACCTCGTATCCTTTTGCGAGCAGCATGGGCACCAGCGTGGACCCGATGTAGCCAGCACCCCCAGTGACCAGGATGTGTCCGGGACATGGGCGCTCCTCCTTGTTGACCTCAATGTATCCGTTGAGATGGGGGCCGTCTGAAGACATGCTGGACAACTGGGAAGGTTTCACTAGGTACTTGATAAAAGAATCGAGGGCTGGATCAAACTGCAATGGGAGAAAGTAGATTTAATGTTGGCGAGAAGGAGAGAGTTGGGGGAAGGCATAAAGAGGTGGAGTAAAAATGAAAGAAGAAAAAAAGAAGAAAGAAAGAAAGAAAGAAAGAAAAAGAAAGAAAGAAAGAAAGAAAGAAAGAAAGAAAAAGAAAGAAAGAAAGAAAAGAAAGAAAGAAAGAAGAAAGAAAGAAAGAAAGAAAGAAAGAAAGAAAGAAAGAAAGAAAGAAAGAAAGAAAGAAAGAAAGAAAGAAAGAAAGAAAGAAAGAAAGAAAGAAAGAAAGAAAGAAAGAAAGAAAGAAAGAAAGAAAGAAAGAAAGAAAGAAAGAAAGAAAGAAAGAAAGAAAGAAAGAAAGAAAGAAAGAAAGAAAGAAAGAAAGAAAGAAAGAAAGAAAGAAAGAAAGAAAGAAAGAAAGAAAGAAAGATTAAAAAAAAGGCATAGAATCATCTTAGCGATTTCAGGTTAAGCAGTCTATTTTCTCTCTCTTCACCATTCTTCTTAAATTCCATTTCTTCTCAATAGCCCATCGTCCGTTTTCCTTTCTCCCTCTCTCCTCTTCTCCTGCCTTTTAATTTCAATCTTTTCTTTTGCTTATCTCCTCATTTTATTTCTCATCCCATGCCTTTCTCCACCACCACCTCCTCCTCTTCCTCTTCCATCTCTGTCATAATTATGATCTGCTCCTCCTCCGAGCTTCGCCATCAGTATTGTCCCCATCTCATTCTTTCTCTCTTCAACATTAGTATCGTTTCCCCGTGTGGCTTCCGGAGTATGAATTTTGCGAAAAACAAGTATAGACCCACTGCTTCCCCAAGAAGCATGTCGTAAGAGTCGACTAATTGGGGAGCTTTTTTTTTTTAGTCTGAGTGCATCTGCCTGTTGCGGCAAAGAACAACCAACTGTGCACAAATAAGCCAATAAAATGGATGTATACGCACAACTCAGGCCCTGGCACAAAGCCAAAGGACGATCAACCAGGACTTTCCGCTGCAGCTTATAACTGGTGAAGAAAAAAGAAAAAGAAGAAGAAAAAGAAGAAGAATGAGAAGAAGAAGAAGAAAATGAAGAAGAAGATAAGTATCGTTGCTGCACCTTAAATTGTGGATCAGCACCACCATTCCAGTGATAACACAGAAAATGATGTTTGTAACATCAGATATATACAGGTGCTGTTTTTAACACCGACCATCCATAAAAAGTGTTATTTGTAGCCTCACACATACATAGACAGTGACATATGTGGCCTCACACATACATAGACAGTGACATATGTAGCTTCACACATACATAGACAGTGACATATGTAGCCTCACACATACATAGACAGTGACATATATAGCCTCACACATACATAGACAGGGACATATGTAGCCTCACACATACATAGACAGGGACATATGTAGCCTCACACATACATTGACAGCGACATATGTAGCCTCACACATACATAGACAGCGATATATATAGCCTCACACATATATAGACAGGGACATATGTAGCCTCACACATACATAGACAGCGACATATGTAGCCTCACACATACATAGACAGGGACATATGTAGCCTCACACATACATAGACAGGGACATATGTAGCCTCACACATACATAGACAGCGACATATGTAGCCTCACACATACATAGACAGTGACATATGTAGCCTCACACATACATAGACAGGGACATATGTAGCCTCACACATACATAGACAGGGACATATGTAGCCTCACACATACATTGACAGCGACATATGTAGCCTCACACATACATAGACAGCGACATATATAGCCTCACACATATATAGACAGGGACATATGTAGCCTCACACATACATAGACAGGGACATATGTAGCCTCACACATACATAGACAGGGACATATGTAGCCTCACACATACATAGACAGGGACATATGTAGCCTCACACATACATAGACAGCGAAATATGTAGCCTCACACATACATAGACAGTGACATATGTAGCCTCACACATACATAGACAGCGACATATGTAGCCTCACACATACATAGACAGCGACATATGTAGCCTCACACATACATAGACAGCGACATATATAGCCTCAAATATCCACGTATAGTGCTATCCTCAGCCTCAAATATCAGAACATTTTACTGATGCAAACATCCATAGACAGTGTTATTTGTAGACTTGAATATCCAAAGCCTCAAACATCTATAGACAGTGTTATCTGTAAACACGAATATCCATAGACAGTGTTAATTGTAGACTTGAATATCCATAGCCTCAAACATTTATAGACAGTGTTATCTGTAAACACGAATATCCATAGACAGTGTTATTTGTAGACTTGAATATCCATAGCCTCAAACATCTATAGACAGTGTTATCTGTAAACACGAATATCCATAGACAGTGTTATTTGTAGCCTGGAAGATCCATAGACTTTGCCATTTGTAGCCTCAGAATCCATATAGAGTGCTATTTTAGTCTCAAATATCCATAGACTCTAGCTTCAAATATCCATAATCAAATATTTTCAGTTCTAACAATTTGAATTTCCATAACCTGTAGCCTCAAATATACATATTCAGTACTTTGGACATATGGTGCTTGTCCTATGTTTATAGACCTATCGACACTCGATGAGTGATGTGGTCAGCATCATGGTCAGTGGCATTACTTCCCAGGATATCGCCTGGTATCCATTTTAGGCCGGATCAACCTGACAGGAAAAGTCAATTCTGACGTGGGAAAACCCGTGTCGATACTGGTTTGATTCCTACACCTTTGGGTCAACAGCCGAGCGTCTAACCACTACGACACCACATCTCCGAACTGCTCTTTTCTTAATTGACCGGACAGCAAAAGAGTCAATTCTCAGGGGTGAAAAAAAAAAAAACGTCTTCGTGTTGGTTTGATTTCTAGACTTTCGGGTCAGCAACCAAGAGTCTAGCCACTATTATACCCCGTCTACCAACCGCTCCGAGCGGCTAGACGCTCGCCGCGGATCGGAAGGTCGTGGGTTCGCTCCCTGGCGGAGACGGACTTTTCTTCAAAAATGACCTTGGTTTTTAGGTCGACCCAGCCTTGAGTGGGTACCGGGTGCAATCCCGGGAAGTAGAGGCGGCCCGCATGATGCTGACCACATCACCCATCTTGTGCCGTTGGTCTATAAAAATATAGGTCTAGCCCTATATGCCCTATACGCCTAAAGGCGTGGAAAGGGTGCTTTACTTTCTTTTTTACTACTTACCAACCGCTCTTTACTAGTATACAGAAAATGCACCAGTATTTGCTGATGTTCTAATTATTATCACATCTCCCGCCTACAGAGATAGATATGTACATGAGTTGAACGTTCCAATTCCTGTTATCTGTAGTTCTAGATAATTCTTGTTGTTCCATTTCGGCTGCATCATCAGGTGTAGTGCCCAATGACCAGACTTTAATGTATTTGTGCAGCTATCTGTTTATCTTTACTTAATTCTTTTCCTTCTGCGTTCACCTTTAAAAGGGTTATGGTTTTTTGGCAGGTTGCCATATTTGGATACTTTCATTTTAGCTCAATCCAAACTCGGGGAACGCTGGAATTTCCGGTAAAGTCCTATTTTACAGGAATGTTACGGTTTAAAATGAACACCGACAAACTCTTATCTTAACACCTCTTTAATATTGGACTGTCCAGGTGATTCCAGTGTTCATTTTTTTTTTTTTGTAGTGGGGGGGGGGGGGGGTAAGCTAAAATTTAAGTACCGATATCTACACTCTTTGACCAGCACATACGATTTCAACAAAAACCTTAACTAGTCGCTTTTACGACAAGCATTTTAATAGGTAATGAATCCATTTTTCCACCTCATCTCTCCCCTAAATTGGACCCAGGAACTCATTTGGCGAGTGTGCTTTGTAATTTCATAACTAGGGGCTGACTGCAGTCTAGCTAATGACAAAAAGTGCTCAGTTCAACATAAAGTGTGATTAGAAATCCCTAAGAAGGGAATGGAAAAGATGGGATGGCTTTAGCTGTCGTAACGCGGCAAAGTGAAGTTTTAAAGAATATAGTATGTAGGGTGTAAACATGATACGTCAGATGAGTTGATTGGCACCAGAAAGGATAAAGGAATGAACAAAAGACGGAAAAGACCAAAACTGACGTAACTATTTGTGTAAAGCTGGCATTTACTTCATGTTTTTTCTGTCTTTTTCTGTTTTCTTTATATTTTTTTTCTCCATATCCTTCTCATTCTTTAATTCCTGCCTCAATTCCAGTTCAAATTATAATTCCAATTTGAGAAACTTAAATTCCAAACTTGATCATTTGTCAGCCGCCCGTAGACCTGCTATATGAAGGAAAGTTCTTTGGTTATCTTATTTGGCGTCCTTTTCTTTGTAGTTTGAAGTCACACCTGATATTCCTTTTCTTTGTCTTGCCTTCCCCCCCCCCCCCCCCCCCCCCCCCCCCCCCCCCCCCCCCCTTTTTTCCCCCTTATAAAAACTTTTATAGTTTTACCGCTGTAAGTTCAGTTCCCTGATTGGGTATTGAAGAAAAATTAAACAGATTTTCATGTCATTAACTCACATATGGGACAGGGTATTAATCAGGGAATCATATCACTAGGCTTCTTCAAACGTATTGCATTGCGTAAATCTGCGCATTGTCGAGCCGGTTCAGGTCCGTTTTATGGAGGCAATGAACTGGTTGACTGATCTGACTCTGCAGTTTGTTTTGCAAGAGCTACTTTGCGATAAAGTGGTCGTGGTGAAGCATGTCAGGGATAAGATAGATAATGTAGCTGAACAGACAGGGTCATCCACATCCGGCTTTAACTTTCAGTCCTGCCAACTGAACTACGGTACATTTTCGGGGAATCCCCGTTGACCCAGTTGGCCTATTTATAGCCTAAAGATGGCCGTGGGTCATCGTATCTGGAATGACTCGTTCTGATGGGAGTGAG